GTGTCTTTCAGAGAGGTCTTCCCATGTATGTGGCCAGTGCATTATTCAACGAGCCTTGAGAAGTGTTGTATTTTCTTCTAACAATTTCTAAAATTTTGCAAAATGAATTAAATTTTTGTTCATCTGCTCAACAGTGATCAAATCAGTGGTGAAACAAATCGCTTTCTTTCATTGGTTGACTATGGGAGGCAAGTCAAGTTTGTTTGAGTCTGCTCTGACTCTAAGCACCAAAATCTTCCTGAATGTGTAGCATAAAAAAATGGTGTGAGATTATCATGTTTACAAGCCTGGGTCTTTTATCAACAAAAACCTTCTTCAAACTATGGACATACCCTTTCTATGGAATAAACTTGGAATAATGTATGCACAAGGATACTCACTAATGACCTCTCTGGAATACAGTCATGGCCATTTGAGCCTAAGTTTACAAGTAGGAATAGATCTTCTATATCTCCAGTTTAAAAGTTAAGAGTCTTCCGTTACCACCACCACCACCAGTTTCATGTGTGTGGAGGCCAGAAGTCGGCTTCACGTATGTTCCTCTGTTTCTCTACAACTTCTTTCTAGGAAAGAGTCTTAGTTTACCTATTGTCCATGCATTCCCATTCTACCAGGCTATATGACTGCAAACATGTGCATGACTCTTTCCTGTCCTGGGACTACAAAAGTTGACTACCCAGTTCAGCTCTTTACATGGGTGCTGAAGATCCTCAAGTTTTCTATGTAAGTAGTTCTCATCCACTGGGCTATCTCCTTAATCCTTCAGTCCTCATCAAACATGTCAACATTATCATATACATGTCCTCTTGACATTAGTGAATCCACTCAGACAATTCCAAACACATTTCAGCACTAGGCTGACTAGTGGAAATAAAAATGGTAAGCTATTCAAAAAATACCCAGGACTATAAACTCAGATATTTAGCATTGTGACTCAGATGGTTGAACACGACTTTGCTCTTTTCATATTGACTTAGTAGCAATGCAGAGAAGAGCAGCCATGACATAAGCTTCTCAGTTGGCTGCAGCTGTGACCTAACTTGTTTACTTCTTAGATACATAATTGTGGGTGAGTTACAAACTTCATATAAACTTGGTTCCTTTATGAATTATGTGGGAATTCCAAGATCTCAGGCCATTGCTTGAAATTGCTTGGCATATAGTTGGCAATTTATATAAATTTTAAATAGAGACAGCATCATATTCAAATCTGGAAAGAAACCATAGTTTCAAGTTGAACACAGAGGCATACATGGTGGACAGGTAGAAGCAGGTGAATCCCTGTGAGTTTAAGGCCAGCCTGGTTTATTTTGCTAGTTCCAAGTCCACCATGGCTACTGCAGGAGATGCTGCCTCAGAACATAATATAACATAATATAAAATAAAGCAACATAATATAACAAAATATGACATAAGACTCTTTACAAAGAAGGGAAGGAAGAAAGAAACCAGTTTTATTTTCATGTTCTCTCCTTATTTCATCATATTCACAGAATAAGGTCCTGTAGAAAACAGACTTCCTCCGGAAAGTAGGTCCTTTGTCAACAGCTGATACAAGTGTAGTTAATTTTAGAAAGCAATCCTAAGAAGAAAGATTGAAGTCTGAGAAGAATGAGAAAAGGAAAGAAGAGAAGAATGTGCCTGTGGTCAATGGGAGCCCAGGAAGCCTTCCCAGAACTACACATCACATGTTCAGGAGGAGCTTCCAAGACTGGGTTACAATGGAGGAGTTAGACCTGCATGTAAGTACTTGATGTGTCACTAATGAGTATGGGTTCTAGCAGCCATCATTTCTGTTAGAGAATTCTCAAACCAAAATGTAGAGGTCAGATCATACTTATGAAATACTGATTGCTACAGGAGGCAAAGATTATCAGATCAAAGAACATGATTTTGAAATAGAAGTTATGTGCCCACCAGACCCAAGAGACATGACAGGAACTTGTTTATAGGTATACATATGTGTGTGTGTGTGTGTGTGTGTGTGTGTATGTGCATCTGTTTTTTTTTCTGTAGGTGCTCCATGTGCATGAAGATTCCTGCAAAGGCCAGAGGAGGATGTCAAATCAAATCAGCTGGAACTGAAATTACAGGCTGTTGTAGGGCCCTCTGGGTACCTGGATCCTCCACAAAAGGACCAAGTGCTCTTAACCCATGTAGCATTTTTCTAGGCTTGTAACTCTCATTTTAAAGTCATCAGAAGTGGGGTAGGGATAGCCCAAATAATGCTCTACCTGGCAGAAATCAAGGCCTAAGTCTCACCCAAAGGGCAATGGATTAGATAATTCTCCACATGGTAACTCACCAGAGCTTAAGACACCTCATTCTTATAACTCTGCAAGCACGATCCTTAATGGGAGTGTCTGTGCTGAGCTGAAGCATCATCACAGGCTTTTGAGATTCATGTTTTGAACAGTTCCCCATCCTTTCATTCTTTAGAGAACAACAGAATAACATAGCCCTCTTCTTGTAGCTTTAATGTCAAATGTTCCCTCCAGGCTTCCATGTTTGAACACTTGATCTCAGTTTGAAGCACTGTTTAGGGGTAGGGAGTGGATCTATAGAACCTTTTGGAGGCAGAGCCTTGCTTGATAAAGTACACCACCGAGGGTAGATTGGATAGTTTTAGCCTTGTCCCACTTCTTGTTTTCCTTCTGTTTTGTGACAGCTGGCCAGACCTCAGTACTCCTACAACATATCTTCCCTGACATGTGGAAGGAAGCCAAAATAAGCCTCCCTAAGTTGCTTATGGTGATTGTGATTTATCTTAGCAATAGAAGAGACACCAAGACACTTCTTGTTGATCCCTATTTACTGAGTAAGTAAAGCTCTAAATGGAAGTGAGAGAAGCAAATTTGCTTTCAAAGGAGTTTCAAAAGGCTGTGTTCATTTCTGAGTTAATACTTCAGATGTCTCTCACTATAGAACTGTTAGTTTATTTTGTAGCTTTACTTTAATATTAAGGAAAAATTATCATGTGGGAAGTTTGCCATTATAGTTTCAGGAAACTCTCATAATTTGTAAATATGCATTTAAAAATCATTGGAAAGCAAGTGAGGCAAAAGTGTAAAGCTCCTATCCAGTAACATAGTTCCATGACACAAAATGAAGAAGACACTGGTGTTTCCTTGTGTGGTGTGGCCCAGTCCTTGGAGCCCCCAAAATCACAGAAAGGACAACTTTCCATGTTCCTATTAAGCATCATGTTTTCGTGTGAGATCCATCGGTACTCTGAGGTGAAAGTGGTCCCAGACAAGCAACTTTCACATTACAAACTGTATTAAATTAATCAAAAAATAGATAAACATTGATAATAACCATAAACAAGAGAAATGATGAACAGTAAAGGTAAACACTTTTTAAATGCTACTCAAATAGACATTCAATAAACCACATCTTTCAGACAACATAATTATTTGCATCATAAAAATCTCTAGTGGTTGAAATCTAAAATATTGATTAAAAAGCTTCAGTTGGACTTCAAATCAGCCTAGAAAGAAACTCCCATTTTAATAAAATAGGCAAAACTTTCCTTGGAAACATTACAACCTATTTTGTTAAAAAAATGTGTTCACTATCCTTGAAAAGGACCTAAAATCGGTCTTTCTGGAGAGGGCATCTTTCCACATTAAATTGAATCTAATGGAGCAGAGAAGATACAATTCCAAAGCACTGAGGAGAAAAGTGAGAGAGCTGGCCTCAGAGTCCCAGGACCACATCTCAGAATCTTTTGGGCTGCTTCGTTGAAGAAGTAGAGGGTGACTGGACACATTCTTGGCTTTTAAAATTCCTTTCCTGGTTTTCAGAGGACATGGTAACCCAGCTTCCCCTTTAAGAATAGATCTCAAGCTGTGAACATACGTTAGACTGCCTGGATCTTCTCAGAGTTTGGCTTCAGACTCTGAAACATCTCCTGGATGATGCCTCAAGTGGACTGAGAACACACCCTGGCTTCAGTCACCCCACTGCCTTCTCTGACTGAAATTCCACACAGTTGATCTTGTTTATCATTCTCACTTACGTACTGCTGCAAGCTGACAGACACATCGGAGGATTTGGTACCATGTGCCTTCCGTTTCAATAAAACACCACATACTGCTATTTGTAAATTTTGGGGGGCAATGAATAAAAAAGATTTCACTTCCAATTCTTACCACAAGGGCTTAATTAAACAACAGATGAATCAGTCCGGCATGGAATGCTAAGTTGACTCTGGAAACAATGAAATAATTCAGATTTTTGCTTTTATAACAAAAATGAGAATTGACTTTACTGCACTGGGAGCTGGAAGTTAAAGGTCTGAGTTTTTAAAAAAGCTTTCTCCACCAAGAGAGCAAAATGCCACTCAGTGGCATTGCATTTGTTTAACAAAATTTCTTTATCAGAAACTATAATTTAATATTTAAGTATCTAATTTACATGTGACAAGATATCATATTCAAAAAAGTAAACTGCAACTAGAAAACTATTAACCACTAAAAACAATACCAAACACAACCCAAACATTTATAGGAAAGCAATCACCAGAATCTGAACTGGAAACAAAAGGGTCTCATCATATTTGGCTCATTAAACGAAGTGTCCACATTGCAGCTTTATAAGATTATCCATTCTAATTCATTAAAGTTTACCCTTTGTAGCATGAGTAACATATAAAGATTGACTCACTGTCTGCATATGCACACGTGCGTGTATATATATATATATATATTATATTGTGAGACATACACTCGTGTGTGTTGATTTAAAGGTATTCTATCTACTGACAACTGCCTGACTTTGGAAGGTGCTGAGATCCATATTTCTACATAGTCTTGACTCATTTAATAATGCCTTTTTAAAAACAGAACTTTATGTAAAATACTCTGCTTTTTGTTTATTAACTGAATATTTTCTTAAGCATAATAATAGACAATGAGAGAATTGCACTTATTATAAAGATACATTAACATGTTAGATTGCAGCTCAGCCATCAAAGATCAGGGACTATGATACTGATGGTATGTTATGCACTTTATGCAAAGGTGATTGTGGCCATTGAAATCAAAGTGAGGGTATCTAGTCACAGAACAAAAGGGGATAACAGAAGGAAACATGCACTATTCCTACTTTAATGTGAAACTAATTTTTTTCCCAGGAAACCAACCCTTGAAACTTCCCATTACAATGAAACACCTTCTGCACCCTTGGCAGCACAGTAGATGAGGATGTCTGCCTGCAAGTTCTAGTTCACTTTCTGAGTGTGCTGTTCCAGTTTCATCTCCTCAAGCTGTCCTTGGAATTCTGGAGCATCTACAACATGACAGTCCCTTGGTTCGGTTTCATTGAGCCTTCATAACCCCTTCAGCACTGTCTAGCAGGGTCTGTTATTCATCTTCTTCTGGTTCTGGAGGCAGCACAGATATTTCTTCCTTTAGACAATCACTGAAAAATCTGAGGATTGTGCTGTAGAAATGATGCTTGCTCTTATCGGAAACATGATATCCTTCATCTGGATAGACCTGACATTAAAGAAAAAGGTGAAATCAAGTAACTGTTAGGTTGGGCTAGGGTCTTCCAGAGCTAGGGTCTACCTGCAGCTGCCTCTTTCTCTCTCTACATTAACCTTCCTATGATTTCCTGCAAGTTTTTAATACTCACTTCTCCAGAGAAAGTTTTCTAAGTTCTCTAAAGAATCTAAATCTGGTTGGATCGACACATGTTAGCTGAAAGCCTGAATCTTTTCCATTTCTGCTATGACATGGGAAACAGAAATAACCTGATTTCAAGCAGGTACTAAGGGATACTCATCAGCCACATAGCTTTGGACATTTCTCTTTTCTCTGAAACCTGTGAGAAGGGTCTCTATTTAGATTCAAGAGTTTAAACCCTTGTCAGATTCCTTGTGTCATGGTTTGAATAAAAATGACCACCATAGGTTCATGTATTTGAATTCATAGTCACTAGGAAGTGACACTATTTGAAAGGATTAGAAGGATTAGGAAGTGTGACCTTGTTGTAGAAAGTGTGTCATTAGGGGTGGGCTTTGAGATTTCAAAGACCCAGTTAGTTTCTTTCTTTCTGCTGTTTCTTCATCTGGTTATGGAATTCTCAACTACTTCTGTAGCATCATGTCTGCCTGCATGACACTATGTTCTTTACCATGATGATAATGGATTAACCTCTGAAACTAAGTGCAAGTTCTCAATTAAATGTTTTCTTTTATAAGCATGGCTTTGGTCATGTGTCTCTTCACGGTGGTAAAACTATGATATCAGTAGTAGAATCTTAGTAGAAGATACTGTTCCTTTCAGGAACCTTTCTCACCAAGATAATACAAAAATTCATTTTAATTAGAGCTTGTTGGCTGAAATAGCAGACTCATCCTTGTTCTTCTTAACTACTGTGGCCTAAATATTGTAGTCTGTTTGACTAAACATGTAACTTCTGGAATACAAGGTCCAGACCTTTAAAGTATTTGCTTGAGAGAATTTTCAATTATGTATCAGTTTTTATGCACCTTAAAAAATGTCCACACATTTTCTGGTCAGTTTTACAGTAAAGGCAATATACTTTCTTAAGACAGGTCTAAGAAGTTGAAATGCAACTTGCAAAGGAGGTTAGAATTTCCTGTCTCTGTAGGAGGGTAGGATCGCTTCACTTGCCTTGAGGGCATGTCAGAAAGTGAAAAGATTTTTGCTATAGCAGGTTCAGAGACATAAAAAGTAAACTCTTAGAGAGTTTTCTTGAGAAAAATGAACCAGGGTACGTTGACTTTACACAGAGCCTTCTAGTCACTTGTTTTTCTGGGTTAAACCCCTAAAATTATTCATCAAATGAGAAGGTACGACTGTGGCTCAAACAGGCCCAGCCACAGCTCACACTAGCTGGGACCTTGGGGCTGGCCATGGGTTACTAATTTTGCTCCTGTGGAGAATTATGGAGTCGTGAAGACTGCCAGGTTACCAAGGAGAATGACTGGTCAGTCTGTGTTAGCTAGTTAGCCAACCCCTATGAGGATAATGGCTAAGGTGATAAAGTGAAATCAATGGAGAACCCAGAAGTTAGTTTAGAGAAAAAAAAAAAACACAGAAAGCCTTGTGAAGGAAGAGGCAGTGAACAGAACCAGCCCCAGAAATCAGTTCTAATGACTTTACCCAGTGAGGACATGGGGAAATGTCCTATCGAGCCCTATGAAATGGATGTCATGCCATTATATCCTCTGGGTGATGAACATGAAGCTACAGTATTTGATATTTGCTCTGTTGTCCTCCAACATCCACACATGTCATGTGGCTCACACAAACACACACATGTATGCATGCGGGCACAGCATGTGCACATGCACATGCAAGTATGCATACACATATGCATGTGCTCATGCACATGTACACACAGGCACACACACATACACATTTTTCAAGAGATGTTTTACTTTTCCAGAAGAACTTGTAATGTGATGTTTTCTTGCCACAGACACAAAGTCACAGGCCCCACTGATATAAAGTTGAGATGAGAAGACTTTTCCGGAATGGCAGCTTACCTGCAGAGTATAATTCACCCCAGCTTTTATCAGATGCTTGATCAATTCTGCTGAATGTTGGAAATGAACTTTTGCTGTGAAAATATTAAATTATGAAATTTGAAAGAAATGAATCCATTAGAACCAGAAACTTTTAATATATTTTCCAAAGAGCATAAGTATCTTGCATACATTATTCACTTGGGAGGCCCATCATTAATTTTAACTAGAAAGCTGTTAGGTAAAATTGCAGAGTTTCATTTCACATCATAAAACAGAGCACGAACACGAGGGCTATTACTAAGGTGAATTTAAGTATACAATGGAAGTTTTTACATATGTGTACATTTGTGTGATTGCTCCTGTGAGGGGGTGTGCATATGTACATTTCTGGGTGTGTGTGGAAGTCAGAGAACCACTTTGGAAGAAATTCCTTCAACTCTTTATTTGAGACATGGTCTCTCAATGGCCTAGGACTTTGATAAATAAGCTAACTTAGCTGGCCAGCAGGTTCCCTTTATCCACTTGTCTTTGCTCAGCATCTTGCCTACTCTGGGATTATAACCATACACCACCATACCTGTGCTTTACTTTTTACTTGGATTCTGGAGAATCCAACCGCTGGACTGCCCATGAGAGAGCCACCTGCCAAATTCTGTATAAGGTCATTTAAGTGTATTTTGCATGAGATAATGTATTTTGTAACTAATTATATATTTAGTTCTTTCTAAACACTGAAGGTAATGAGTGTCTTGCCTGCCATGAACACAGTGAAATATCTTCATATACATACTTGAGGATTTCTAGAATCTAGAAATTCATAGACATTGACACTGTATTATTATTTTAAGTTAGGAGTGGGCAGCAGTGAGATGGTGCAGCAGAAAAGGGTGCTAGACAGGAAGCTTTACAACTTGAAATCAATTACTGGGACCCATAAATGGTGTAGAGAACAGACTTCCAAAAGTTGTCCTCTGATCCCAAACACATGCTTTTGTAAGCATGGGCACATATACATATACACACAATATGTAACTATATGAATAAATGTAATTAAAATGTCGTACTAAAACTGAATGTCACATGTTGAGAAGATAGAGTATGTCACTCATTATTCAGTGTTAAATATTTGATTTAGACCAAACCGTTTTTTTCTCTTTTCCCTCCATCTTCCTTCTGTCTGAATGGAAGGTCCCTAAGCTTTGGAATACACATCTCAGAAGTTCTGTTGTTAGTAATGGCTTTGTCTGAGCTAGTTACTTAAGCTTGGTCCTGCCACTCAAATCTTCTTGTGCTAGAGTTTGCTTGTATTCTGCCTAGGCTATTCATTTCACTCTATACATATACTTAGATTTCTATAAATAACTTTAAGCTAATATTTTGTATCTGTCTTTGTCAAACTAGAGCAGCCTTATCACAGTGGTCTTAGCCTCCCTAGGCTCTCATTTTATGGTGCCAAATAATCTTTCTATACAGCAGAGGGTAGACAGTTCCAAAGAGTCATTCATTTAAAATATGCTCAAGATCTTTCTAAACAATTTTCTATTATAATTAATAAGAAAAACATCACCAATTCTAAATAACTATAACTTGCTTGGTATATGCTTGTGACTATAAATATAGATTTATATGGGCAATGCTTGAGGTAAAATAATCTCATATAATTCGTATATTTTGGAGGATGAAAGGGAAAATATATGAAAAGGACTCTATTATGTTTACATTTAGATGTGGCAGAAAAGATAAGCATGCAAATGAATTATTGTGGCAGGAGTGAGAGGGAGGGCTGGAGAGAGAGGCAGCGGGAGGGAGAGAAAGAGAGAGAATATGTGTGATGTGTGAGTATGGGCTCAAGAGACACGACAAGAGACAAGAGGACAACCTTGAGTGCCAATCCTTGTTTTTCAACTGATGTGAGACAGAGTCTATCATTGTACACTGGGCATACTAGGCTACCTGGTAGTCATCTTGTAGTCTCCTCTGTCCTCTCCTTCTTGTCTCCTCCTCCGATCTCTCCTTAGGAACACTATGATTACAGGTGTGCACCACTATGTCCGGCTTTCCTTGGATTCTAGGATCCAAGCTTATCCAACCTTAGGTCCTCACTGAACTATCCCCCCAACAACTTTGCAATTGATTCTTTTCTGTTTTGATTTCAGTGTAAAGTCTGTTGTATGCTATTTGTCTTTTTCAAAGGACTAAATGCGACAATAAAGTTTGACTGAATAAATGGATGGATTTATTGTTTTTCTGGGCAATAATAATAGCTAGTCTGTTTGTACGGTTCCCATTGGTGAGATCAGGACCTTTCATTGATGCTTAGCTGTCTTTTGGGAACCTGTTCCTCATGCTGAATTACTTTCTCAGCCTTGATGCAGGGGGAGGAGCTTGATCCTGCCTCAACTTGATGTGCCATGCTTTGTTCAAGCCCATGGGAGGCCTGCACCTTTCTGAATGGAGACAGAAGAGGAGTGGATGAGGAAGGGGTAGATGGGAGGCAGGAGGACCATGGGAGGGAACAGGAGGAGAGGACAGAGGGAAATCTCAAATAAAATAAATGAAAAAAAATGTTAATTAAATAAATCAAAGAATGTCATCGAACACCCACAAGTCAGCTTCTCTATGAGCTGTGTGGTGAATGTGGACATGTGTGCCATGAACTCTGTGTACAGACATGGCCATATCCCTCTGAACCGCTATATAACATGAGGTATGTGAAGCACTTGGTCTGAAACTGAATCAAACAGGAAACATAGTTAAAGTAATGTCAGCAACTTAACATGGTAGTTGGGATGTGGTTGGCCTCCACAATCTCTGGGAGTGGCACTTTTAGGAGGTGTGACTTTGTTGGAATGAGTATGGCCTTATTAGAGGAAGTGGGTCACCGTTGGGGAGGGCCTTGAGGTTTCCTATGCTCAGGATACCACCCTGTGTTTCAGTCAACTTCCTGATGCCTGCAAGATGTAGGACTTTCAGCTACTACTTTAGCACCACATGTGCATGCACACTGCCATACTCCCCATCATGATGGTAATGGTTAAACCTCTGAAACTGTAAGTGAGCCATCCCAATTTAATGTTTTCTCTTTAAGCATGGCTGTTGTCATGGTGTCTTTTCACAGCAATAAAAGCCCTAACTAAGACACTTAATATATGGGTTTCAAAGAGTCCTAAAAAATTGTAGGGTGGTGTCTAGAGATAAAATCATCTCATTTTCACTATTATTGGTTCTGCTGGCTCAGGTTTCATAGCGAAGCAGATAAGAACTGCAGTACAAATCTCCATGTAAAGTCCTGCTTTACCAACACTTATTTCTGTAGGACAGCATTTTTGTGCAGAACAAATAAGACATTGGTAAGTGCTGTTAGTGCACTTTCTGACACATGGTTAACAATTAGTGATTTCGCATGACTGCTATCGACATATGTGGAAGGTATTAACACTATGGCATTCTTTAGAAGCATGGTGCTCTCTGTAGACGTGCATCATGCAATGCTTCTATTAGCTAAATCGTTTTCTGAATACATTGCCCATTATGTGATAACTGTGGATTTTCAGAAGAGTACTCAATAGAACAAAGGGTCCCTGTGTAGGCTGCACCAGGTTTTCTTTCTTTTTCTCTTTCATACATTTTACATTGTGATGAGAAGTTTGTTGCACAGTAAAACAAAAGGACTATAGGCACCAGCCATGAGCTGCTCCCTGTGGAGCCCATTACTGTTTTCCTGTGCATCTTTTTATATTTCACATAGGAACCCAGATTAACACATGACTCTTAGACTTCATAGCTCCTAACCTAATTGTAACTAAAGGATACATACATACACATAGGCAAACATGGAGGCATAAATCTACACATTCATACATACTCCCACACAAATACCACATTCATTGATCTGAGCCCTGATGGAACCACATCTTGACATCAATTATTTTCTTGTTTCCTAGTCAATGCTAGTCACAATATGGTCTTTGGTTGTAAATGGTCAGTAGCTGCTGTCTACATGAATGCAGGATCAGAAGTCAAGTTTTCCTATCATATCAGAAGGTGATAGTGGAGAGTACTACCACATTTCCTTCCCATTTCCTGCCAGACATCTCATTCTCCATGTTATTTCCTGTACTTTTGTTCAGTAGCATTACAGGACCCTCTGGAAACAAGTCCTACATGTAAGATGTGTCCCTTTGTAACAGGATAACTCCCATCAGATAAAAGCAGCAAATACAATACTTACTATCAGCAGTTCCGTGAATTATTAATATATTTTCTTCTTTTAGACCATGAATGTTATGCAGTACACTGGAGGCCTGTAAGTAAAACACAAGTATTTGTATGTATGGAGAGACCCAAATGGAAGAAATTCAACCTAATCTTCATAACAAAAAAGTGACCTTTGCCTTTTGTTGTTATTTTTGTCTTAGTTACCTGGTAAGTGCTTTCTTCCTTTGATGGCATACCAAGGTAACGCTCAGAGAAAGCTGAAGCTGCGACCCAAGGAAAAAGAAAACAACATCAGAAGAAGCAAATCGTAACATTTCATTATTTATTCACGCACTTCAAATGCAATTGTCATGCTCTGGTAAAATCAATTGCATCAGGGAGGTGATAACTCACAACAGGCTTTAATAACACATGATAAATGAGCTCAATTGAGTTTCTCTGCATTGGGATTTTGCCTTCCACCCACCAATACCTTAGATTAGGACTGTCTGTAGGACATACTCACCATACAACCTCATGTCTGAGATGGGTGCAACCATGGCTCCACATTTGAAAAGCTTCTCATCTGACTTTAAGATCATTGCTGCAATATAGCCCCCGTACCCCTGAGCAAAAGAAAAATCATAATAATGATTCCTAACGATATTTGTACCTTTTGATTGCTGTTTAATAATGCACATATCCCCGTGTCTCTGAGTGTAGAATGGAATGCAAAAAAAAAATCACTGTGTACTTATGAGGATTCAACAGCTGTTTAAAAATTTATGCAACAGGCTTTTTTAATAACTAAGTAAAATATGAAATTAATTATATAGGACAAAAAGTCATGATTTCACATCATGTATCTGGGAAATGCTCCAAATAATTTGAAATAAAGTATCTTTTATATATCATTTTAAGACAATTTGGTGTGTATTTTAATTGAATACTTAATAAGAATGGTGGTTACATTCAATTATGAAAGGAAATTAAAAGACTAAAAATACAGAACAAACTATATACTCTGCTTGGAATTTCCTTGCAGAGACTAAGGGCCTGTCACCTCAAAGGGTAACTCTATGAGAACAGAATCTGTCATGAGATGAATAATCCTTTTTTGGATAAGGATGATTTGAGATGGTAATTTTGAGAAATATAGACAGAAGCTGCATTTCTAGCGCATGTAGTAACGTGTTTCCCATTTAAGCTTTTGGTCCTAAGTTTGATCTTCCAAAACCCAACTTTAAAAAACTAAAAAGCTGAGCATTCTGGTGCCCACTTCACATCTTTGTGTTTGGACTGTGGAGGTAGGTGAATACCTGGAGCTAGCTGGCCAGTGAGCCTAGCTTACTTGCTTGCTGAGTTCTAGGATAATGAGAGACCTTGTCTCAAAACTCAAGGTGGATGGTGCCTGAGAAATGACAGATGCAATTGTCCCCATGCATGGACAAAATTGCAAACATATGTGCCCTTCCACACACAAACATGCAAGTTATCACTTACACAAAGAAGACAAGAAAAGAAAATCTGCCAGACATAGGACATATCGGATTTTTCTGGTTGTAAGAGATTTATATTTACAGGGAGATCTGTTGATAAGATATCTATGTTTTGCACAATTAAGAGGTGACTCTCTGAATGTGGTTGACAATGAGGGCTGACTGAGAAGTCAAGGATAATGGTACTGAGTTTTGATTCTACTGCATGGACTGGCCTTGTGGGAGCCTAGTCTGTGTGGATGCTCACCTTTCTAGACCTGGGTGGAGGGTGGAGGACTTTGGACTTCCCACAGGGCAGGAAACCCTGACTGCTCTTAGGACTGGAGAAGGAGGGGGAGGGGGAGCGGGGGGAGGGGGGGGAATATGGGAGGAGGGGAGGAGGTAGAAATTTTTATAAATAAACAAATAAAAAAAGAGGTGAGGCCTACATGCTGAAACTCTCACCAGTGGAAAAGGCACGAATTAAGTAGAAGAAAAAAAAATAGAGAGAAAGGAAAAAAGGAAAAGAAAGGCAGAAGACACAGATGAAGATGAAAGAGATGATGGAGAAGAAGAGGAAGAAAAGGAATAGGAACAGATTAGGGTTGTGGTGAAGAAGTGAGTTCTAATTTATATATACAAAATCAAGTAAACAGTGCTTATTGGAGGCACAGGGATGGCATGGGGGCTGTGCAGGAACTGAGGTAGATCAGCAGAGCAGGAGATACAAGTGTCTGATAGGGAGAATGGGAACAAAATCCTGAAAAGTTTGCACAATGTGAGGCCATGAGGTTAAAATGTATTGGTTTGACTCCTGCCAAAGGAGCAGATTTTAGTTGTTCTTTGCACAAAAGCTAAAGAAAACAAACACGGAGGAAGTAACCAATGATGTCAACTCTCAATGTCCACTGCAAGAATCAGTTTGTCACAGAGATATGTGACATCATATCATTGTAGATAGACTTTAAATCTAAATGGCAGTATCATTCAGGAAAAAAAATCACCTAAAAACATTTTACAGTAATGGTTTAATTCAGTAGACTGGAGGGACTCTCTCTCTCTCTCTCTCTCTCTCTCTCTCTCTCTCTCTCTCGCTCTCGCTCTCGCTCTCGCTCTCGCTCTCGCTCTCTCATTCTTTCCCACAAGTATTCCATTAGCCTAAACTGCCTCTAACCTATTATTCTCCTGCCTCAGATTCCTGAGAGATGGGATTCCGGTATGTTAAGACTTTTCGTTTTAAACAAACTTTAAGGGTATGCCTGTGATACTGCTGGACATTACTTTTTTATTATGTGGTGTGTGTGTGTATTTGTACATTCACATGCATGCCACTGTGCTTGATCATGCGAGGTCAGAGGCCAACCTTCAGGAGTCAGTTATTTCCTTTTACGGTGTAGGTCCTAAAGATTAAACTCAGGTCATTAGGCTTGGTGGCAAGCACCTTTGCCTCTGAGTCATCTTGCCAGCCCCTGTTAGACATAATGAGTTGGGGGTTCTTACAGTATACTAACACAATAAAGATGCCTAACAGAAATGTCTTCCTATTTTCCACGAGAATTCCCTAGACTCACGGAATGAGACAGGGAGGAAACAAATAGCAGCAGCAAACCCGCCATCTAATGAAAATTTGACAAGAGCCTTGGCCTGGGAAGACGTCCCAGCCAGGATTCTTCTCCTGAGATCTAGTGCACATATCCCTTGCTTCGTGCTTCCTGAGGAGCTGTGTTTCGTTATTTTTTTTTAATATGAAAATTTGGGATGTAATGAAGCTAAATAATCTTTAAGACTTAATGATAGTGAAAGCTGTGGAATTTAAAAATCAAATCTAAAATGCTGCTTTAATTTGATTTATTTCAGAGAAATAACTTCTGTTTTTAAAGGGAAAAATCAACACCGACAGGAATTAGAATGAATTAAATTATAATTGCTCACCATCCTCTCAATCATTTCATGTTTATTCACTGAGGCAAAAGTTGAACTTGAAAGAGCTGTTGGAAAACAGACTGTGGACGGCAGTGAGAGTCAGATGTGAGCTCTCGTTAGATGGGCAGGTGTTGGGCTTAATTTTCAAAACAGTTTACACTTCAAGTACATTCTGAGTTTGTGGCTCCTTAGACTGGCCTGCAGCCAATTGGAGGTGGTTTGCCTTCAATGGGGAGAAAAGCATTCAACAGTTCAGGATGCTCTGCTTCCACCATGCCAATGCTTGGTGTCCTATGATCAAGAGTTTTATAATCACAGAAATTTTAGTGGAGGACCCAAACCTGGAATTAAAGTTTGTCTGCAAAAGCCAAAACAGTGTATATATGACAGTGGGGTGGGTTCCTTTTCTGTGGGAGATTGGCTAATTCAGACAAAGAAATGGAAACTAATTGGTTTTGTCACAAGAGTACCACCCCAACCCCAACCCCAGAATTTTGAAAGTCCTCCTGATTAGTTCTCCTGAAAGGGAGCACCAAGTCTTTGTTTTGGGGAGAGGGAAGAAGCAGGAATTTTGCAATTTTAAGTACTGAAGTGAAAAGTACATTGATATACCTATGAGATCCTTTTCCTATTTATTTGTCTGCCTGGGATCTGCCTAACTCCTGGTCTTCAACATGATTAAAATATATTGTACATATGCATTAAATTCTCAAATAATGAGTAAAAATGTTTTTTAAAATTTGGTATTTCAGAATTAGCAAAATTTTATCACCATGTATCTCTCTGCATTAATTCTGTTTCTTTAAGTCTTCACATCTTTATATATGGGTATGATATATGTGTGTGTGTCTGTGTACACACACACACACATATATATATATACACACACACAGACACACACACTCTCTCTCTCACACACACACATACACACACACACTTATGCTTGTTTCTGTGATAGTGCAGTTGCTCTTGTGCCACAGTGCATATTCAGGAATCAGAGAACAATTTTGAATATCTATCTTCCAACTTCTAATCACTGCTGAATAAACCAGGCTAGGCTGTACTGTGACGTTCTGAGGACTTCCCTGTCTCCACCTGCAGCCTCTACGTAAGAGCAGTGTGGTCACAGGAGTGGGCTACTGCATCTGACTTTAAATGAGTTGTAGGAATTTGAACTCACAGTCTCGTATGTATGTGGCAAAATCTTTGTTCACTCAGGCATTTTTCAGCTCTGATTCTATGCATTTTCACAGACTCCAGAAATGGCTTGATCTGGTTTCAAACTTTAAGAAGTTCTTTTGCGAATAATGAGATGCAAAACTGTAAATATCAGTTTCCTCTTTGTAAGTCAAGTTTAATATGTTTTACAGTCAGTCTTATCTCTAACCATAAACCAGCCCTGGGAAGCCATGTTCCTTGATTTTTCCTGTGTGGTTCTCATGCCCTCAAGATCTTGTAGTGGGAGGTTGTTACTTCAACGTCTCCTGAAAAAATACAGCAAGTAAAAACACTTGTGTAAACATTATGACCTAAATTCAGTCCCTGGAACCCACTCAAAAGTGGAATGATAGATCTGGCTCCACCAAGCTGTCCTCTGACTTCTACACATTCATGTCATGCATGTGTTCATGCATGTACACACACAAACAAACACACATACACACACACCAGTAACAAGCATAAATTAAACTGCCCTACTCATCACCCATCTTTGGCTGTATTTCTGCTTCATATCATTGGATATTTTGTTGCTTATCTTCCATTTATTTCTCTATAACAACTAGAAATTCAATATTGTGACCTTTGTGTGTTTTATTATTAGTAGACTTAACTCTGTTAAAATTGTTTTGCATATGTGGCTGTGGTGAGGATGCATGTGAGTTCAGGTGCCCATCGAGGCCAGAAGAGGACGTCAGATCCCCTTCTGGAAGAGTTATGAGCAATTGTGAGCCTGCTGATGTGGTTTGTGGGAAACAAACATAGGTCCTTTGCAAGAGCAGTGCATATTTTTAATTGTGGAGCCATTTTCCCTGCTCTCCACATAGCTCTGTTAAAAGTGCTGGCAACAGAGTACACAGGATCGATGTGAATAAATAATCATATTCTCTGCATTGCTAAGTGATCATTGCAATGCTGTTTTCTCGCATGATGTTTATAAAATTCTTACGTTTTTTATGCAGGCTAAATTCACATCAAACTTTTTAAAAAGAAAACAATTCAGAAAAGTTTTGATTTCGGAGTTTTGTGACATTTCACAACAACAGTGTTTGCTTTGAAGAAAAAATTAAAGACCCATGCATATATATTTAGGTGAATCAAGGTTAGTTTCCAATGACTATAATTTAAACTACCATGGTTCCAAGCGTCAAGCCTAATTACTGAGAAAAAAAAAGAAAAAAAAAAAAACACATGGTCAGTTAAATGCATAGCTGTTAAAATGTTTTCATTATTCTAACAAGCCAGTTAGTGCATTATAGAGAAAGCAGTCATTCACAGGGACATTTAAATACGTCACACATAATGTCTAGGATCCAACATTACAGTGAAAAGATTTGTCATGTATGTATATACCTCTGTGTATACATATAAATTAATATTACAATGGGAGGTCAAAAGAAGATTTAAAAACTAGCTAAGGACTCTTCTTGTAGATATTTTATTTATCCTCAAAGGAATTTACTGTAAAATTGTTTAATAACATTTTTATTTTTAGCTGGTGAGCTGACACCAGACAAAGAAAATAAAAAACATTCCTTTTCAAGCTAGGCAGGAGGACTCAGAAATTCAACCCATGCACCACCTTGCTTTTGCACCTCTATCCTTCAGAACTGTAGAAAACCCCACAAAATTATTCTATAAAAAACAATGAATATGTCCAGTGAAATGGTGTCGAGAATAAGGATGTCTGTGTCTAAGTCTGATGAACTGAGCTTGAGTCTCAGGACCCACACGTTAAGCAGAAAGAGGTGCTACCCAAAATTACCCTCTGACCTCTATATATACAACATGGCACGTGCACGCATGCATGGGTGCACACACATGCTCACACACACATAAACATACACATAACGGGGGGGGTGAAGACAGAGATGCACACAAATAAAAGTAAAAGGAGAGAAAAAGAAGAGACATGGGAGAGTGGAAATGAGAGTACAGGTATAGGATTCATACGAAATAGTGTTTTTAAAACATTAAAATATGTTGCCATTGGTGTGCTTTCATTAAAGGATCATACAAGGAAAGCATCAGAACTCAGAGCAGGTAACTCCAGGGGTAAATCCAGGCATGTCTGGGAAGTCACTCTTACATATTTTGAGTTTCAGTGTTAAAGATGACTTAGTGAGCCAAGAAGTCAGGAAACAAACTAAGCAGGTACTGGAAATTAAAAGTGTAAATCCTGACCATGCTTTGCAAGAGTTCTGTCCTCTCTTTCCTGTTCAAGCTATAAAAAGAAAGAAAGAAAGAAAGGAAGGAAGGAAGGAAGGAAGGAAGGAAGGAAGGAAGGAAGAAAGAAAGAAAGAAAGAAAGAAAGAAAGAAAGAAAGAAAGAAAGAAAAAGATTCACAGAATGTGGGTAGCCATTAATGATGAAACGTTGCCTAATAAGTTTTAAAAGTTTAAGTTTGAGGGTGGACAGACGACAGCTTAGTGGTTTACCACTGATAGTGCTTGCTGCTCCTGCTGAGGACCTGAATTCAGCACTCACATCAGGAGGCTCACATAGGCCTATAACCTCATACCCAGGGAGATCTGATGCCCCTCTGGACTTGGCAGGTTCTAACTCATGTGCATATGCACTTTCCTCCAAACACACAGAAATACTGCTCATTTCTATCAGCAGCCATCAACTGTATGCCTGAGAATAGACATCCCAGTAAGTGAGTGAATAGACACAATATGAATTACGTGATTTTAAAGGGTCATACAGAAAAGTAAAGTACAATGACTAATGAAATTATACATACATAATGCATGCATATATATGTGTGTGTGTGTGTGTGTATGGAAAAATATATTCAGTGTTTCTATTTACCTTTCCAAAAATGCTTAATCTTTTGGAGTCAATATATGGCAGTTTCAACAAATATCTGTGAGAAAAACATAAATATTCATTGTTATACATTTTTGAGTCAAACACATGTCTGAATTTATGACTTATAGACAGATAGACAAGTATAAACACTCCCCAAAATCTTTAGACATGCTTCACTATGGGGTGAAGTAATGGCTCAGTGGGCAGAAGTATGAAGACCTCAGTGCAAATCCCTAGAACCCTCATAAAACCAGGTAAGGTAGTGTGCTCCTACAATCCCAGAGTTCCTTCAGCAAGACAGGAGGTATAGACAATAGCTTCCCAGAAGTTCATGGGAAAGGTGGCCTGGTGTCCACAGGGGTGACCTCAAGAGATGCTGTCCCAAACGAGGTGCAAGGTGAGGATGGACTCCTGAGGTTGTCTTCTGACTCCCACACTTGATGGTAGCATTACACACACACACACACACACACACACACACACACACACACACACGCCAGTAGAAATGCTTTACTAGAAAGGCTTTCCTTATACAAAATGCCTTTACAGTTCACAGTCTTCTGGTCAAAGCTACAGTCTAGTAGTTTGTCATCATCTGTGAGCTTGTTACAGATGTGGAATCTCCAGGTGTACCACGACCATGCCTGGCTGATCTTTGTATACGAAGCAGCAATGACCTTCCTATTGTACCTTTCATGCCACCATAGTAATAGTAACCTTGAGATGTTAGAGAATTAGAGCTAATGTTGGATGGGATAGCTTAGTAGGTAAAGGTAGTAGTGTAAAATCTGATGATCTACATGTAATCTTTATGGTTGAAAAAGAGAATTAACTCCTGCCAATTGTCTTCTGACCTCTACATCTGTTTAACAGCTTGTACTCACCTACACATCACACACAAACACACACACACACATACACGCAAAGAAACACTGTAAATAACATTCCAAAAATCACACACATACACACGCAAAGAAACACTCTACATCACACACATACACATGCAAAGAAACACTGTAAATAACATTCCAAAAAATGTGTTAGTATTTTAAAGGAAGAATCATAATTAGTTGTGGACATGTTGGATAGTGTAGATTTCTGTCAATCAGGAATATGGTAGTGTAGTTCTTCTCACAATTCCATAAACCCAAAGTAAATTCTAATTGCGGAGGATAATAAGATTATTCTTTTATGGTGCCCCTAAGTGTGATAGATACTTGAGAAAAATGCAAGAAAGCTACGTGCTCAAATTAGAAAATTGGTAGACCCACGAACACTGCCTGAATGAGTAATGAGTCCCTTTACATAAATTCTGCAGTTATGGAAAGCACCAGGAAGACATGCACCGACTTACTTTACAGCTGCTACTTGGTCCTTTGCGTCTACCGACCCTATCCTTCTGTGAATCTCCTGCAAAACTTTCAGGCCCTGGAATCCACTTCCTCTGCCATCAAATCTTGCTACAATGACATTATCAGTGTCAATAAGAACGGAATCCCAGTCAACATGGAACTTATCTGTCACCATCTGGCCTCCTGGTTCTTCATCCCTGCAAATTTGAGCATACTTGATGAAATGAAGAGTTATTGGCAGTCTGGTAGGTTTCACCTTCATACTAACTGGCTAACCAGTATGGAAATCATCTATACTGGCTCTTAACATTTTGCATAATTTTTGACAAGCCTAAAGGTTAATTCTTGATGACAAACCATTTTCCTTACATAAAGTTTGAAATGAAGAGACCCAAAGATGAGGTGTAAACATGCCTTAAAACTGCATAGTTGAGCTTGGTTTAATTCATTTTTGAAGAGAAGAAATGGAGAATATATGTGGCCCTTTTAAAGATTTTTTCTGAAAGATGACTGTCAACTTGACAGACAAGTCTATTTTTACTAGATGTCTTCAACTGTGTTGAGGAAATAAATGTATGGTTTACAAAAGTTGAAGGGTCTGATAGAGTGCTAAAAGCCATGGAAACTTCATATAATTTAACAGGAAGTATATGACCTTAAAGATTGTTGGACTCTGAAGAAAATATTGTATTAATATTTCCTGAGGGTTTTCTTCCTGTCCATGATAGAATTCTCACTGAGAAGTTAAACAAATAGTAAAAGGAGAAGTATTTTTCAGCCTTCAAGCTAACAGGCAGGAAAGAAAACAGAAACACAAATGTCTGAAAAAATTTGAAAGCCAGATGCCAAGGTGGACATGAAAATTACAGAGCTTGAATCTTTTCTCCACTGGGGAGAGATAGCATAACTTTACACTGTCAAATTCAAGTTCTTATTTTTGTTACCAGGGCTACATTCTAAGAATTCTCTCCTCATAATTCACTATTCAAGGGTAAATCACCAGGTCATCTTTCTTCTACCATCATGTATTTTGAGGGTCCAGAGACGTGAACCTGTTCCACCTTTACTGGAGGTCAGAGATTTGGAGCTCAGTTTTGCTGTTTCAATGTTGTTGACAACAGATGTGATTACAAACAAGAGATTCTGACCTAGGGTGTGGTTAATCAGTGTTATAGAGATGGATCTGCACCACTTGGGCTAAAGGTCAGAGGATTCAGATTGATTCCTTATATCATGCTAATGAAATCTACTGCATTCTCCCCTCCCCTTTAAAAGTGAAGTACAGAAGCATGGGGAAAATAAAAGTAGAAGGATTCAGGATTCACTGAATATCCCTCCTGAAGCTGTTCTGTGTTTCTGTCTCTTATTTCTCTTATATCTCTCTTTCTTTTGCTTAATAATTCTAACCCTCATGCTCCTACCCTGGAAATTAAGAGTTTCATCAAGACTGGTTTTTAATAACATATGTGCTCACAAAGAGACACCACTCAGTATACAATTCTCATCAACAGTTTCTAGTTAGTATCTACTTATGAGTGAGTACATACCATATTCATTTGGGGGGAGGATTACTTCACTCAGGATAGTGTTTTCTAATTCCATCGATTTGCAATTCAATATGTCATTTTTTTTAAGGCACTGAGTAGTACTCTAATGTGTAAATGTGTCACATTATCTATTCTTCAGTTGAGGGGCATCTAGGTTGTTTCCAGGTTCTGGCTATTACAAATAATGCTGCTATGAACATAGTTGAACAGATGCTTTTGTAGTATGATTGATCATTTTTTGAGTATATTCCCAAGAGTGGTATTGCTGGATCCTGAGGTAGGTTGATTCTTAGTTTTCTGAGAAACCTCCATACTGATTTCCAAAGTGGTTGTACAAGTTTTCATTCCCACCAGCAATGGATGAGTGTTCCCCTTACTCAACATCCTTTCCCACATAAGCTATTATTACTGTTATCCTGAGTGAGGTAACCCAGACCCAAAAAAGTGAATATGGTATGTACTCACTCATAACTGGATACTAACTATAAACAATGAACATTGAGTCTATAGTTCATGATCCTAGAGAAGCTAAGTAATAAGGTGAACTCAAAGAAGAATATACATAGACCCCACTGGAAATTGGAAACAGCCAATATTGCCTGACAAAATTGGAAGCATGGGAGCATGGGGTAGAAGGAAGAGGG